AAAAAAAAAAATAGAAGAAATTAATATGTATTTTTTTTAATATTTATCTTTCATTTTCCCTTCTACTAACATTAGAATTATGATTAAAATTTATTTTTTTCTAATGATTATATTAGTTTTTATTGTTATTTTTCACTCTCTTATTATTTATTTATATTTTCTATGAAATAATTAAATTGTATTCTAATAACTTTTTTTTTTTCATTCATTTTTTTTTTGAAAATATTTATTTTTAAATAAATTATAAAATATCATATAGACTAATTTATAATTAAATTTAAATATATTATATCAATAACACTAAATATTATATCTATTTTATATATATATAATTATTATTATTTATTTAACTAAGGTATTAAATTTTTATTTTTTAAAATATTTTTTTATTATATGGAGGGAAAATGAAGGAGAAGGGGGAATTGTAAGAAGTATTACCTCGTATGTGATAATTTCATAATACTGCACTAAATCCACATAAATTCTATCTCAAATGTAAGTCTTCAAAATTCTTTTGAATTCTACAAACGTCTCTAAAATTTTTAAAATGAAAGTTTATAAAAATCTACAAAAAACTTCCACTAATTCCATATACAATCTCCAAAAAATCCATAAAATCCACAAAAGTCGTCACTTAAAAAAATCTTTCACAGTTTTCAAAAATCTCAATTGAATACACCCGCTAAATGTTTTCAATATCACATTTCATAATTAAGATATACAAGTTTTAAAAAAATCAAATATAATTAAAATTTAAATATTAATAATAATATTATAAAATTAAATTAATTAACATACCTCATCTGCCCCACCTCACTCACAAACCCTGAATTTATCTTCATTCTCACTCTCTTCTCCCCCTTATTTCTCTATATCTCACCTTTTCTCTCTCATTTTCCTCTCCCAACTACACTCTTCGTCAACTGTAGCCGATGTCGGAAAGCACCGCCATCGAAGATCGTCTCTCTACCATTTTCTATATGAGCGCAATCGATGAGCCATTTCTTGCTGAATATGGATCTTCAGAAGCTCTACGGATCTCAGGTAAAGTCATTCCTTCACTATGTACGCCACCGAAGGCTCTACAGATTGTGGTTGCAGCGGCGTAGATCGTGGCTGCAACGATGCAGATCGAAGTAGTGGTTTCCTTGTTTTGGTGGCTTTAGGGTGATGTGGTGGTGGTGGTGGCACTGCTCGTGGTTATGGTGAGTATCGACGCCAATGGTTGCACTGGAGTCAGCTATTTATGTGGTGATGGTGTTGGTGGAGGCAGTCAAATTTTGTTGATTTTTAGGG